TTTTACCCCAAGGAGTTAAGAAGGGCGGAAGGTCTGACAAAGATATTGTCCAGCCGTTCGGAGGGAACGAAAAACCAAGACCCCGTGTACACATTGGCGTGCACGTAACATCATCATTGATATTTGTAATTCGAAATAGGAGTAGGCCATAGCACAATTTCCTTCATAGCACACTGCATAGCGTATGCTCGTCTTGTTTAGATCAGTCTCTCAATGATAGTGGCAGCTGAGCGAAAATTTATTTCTGATCACTTTGTAGCTGCCTGACTTCATCAATTTGAATTTTTCCGCTTGCTAATCTGTTTAATGTAACTTATGGGAGACCACAGAAATAAATGGTGTGAAACGTTTTTATCACCTATTTCAGAAATCAATATATTACATGGTAATGGTAATTCAGCTGATTTCGACAGGGGTATTACAAGACTGGCGGCCATATATGCTTTTATAGACTTGATTTCCCAGAAGGCAAAAACAGAAAATACGTATACTCGTGTTCTTGATAAAATTTATTTCCATAGTACATCTGTATGCAAAGAGGAGTCGGGGCTTGGGGAGGCGAATGTCTTAACGACTGCGCGTTAGATCGTAAGGTCTGGCATTGTGTCAAGTGGCATGGTTTCGATTCTTCGCTTGTAGAACTGAACCATATGGTATTCCCGAAATGACCTAGTTTACTTTGAGTATAGACGCTTTGATTTAACTTCACTGTTACATCGTTGTATTTTAACAGTAGAGACAGGTCTGTTAATTCTTAACCGAGATATAGACGTTTAACGAATTAATGTTAGTCATACACGTTATAACCACTTTATTCCAGATATTAAAATGCTTTCCTCTAAGTAGGCCAGTTCTAAGATTTCTATGATTTCTATGATTATTTTGTATTTCCCGTAGAAAGTGATGACGCCATTCTAATATAAACTTAAGAATATATAAAGACACATTAGTTTTTATAGCAATTTCCTGTGTTTCAATTCCTTTGTCCGCCTTATTTGTCTCCGGTTTGAATGTATCTTGAATATCTGCCAAAAGGTAATTAAAATCGAACAGTCCAAACGTAGAGTTCACATTGGTCTTTATTAATTTTACTTCGTTTTATGCTGCCTTATTGACACCGGTGTGTTTAAATCATTTTATCCATGAGTCGTGTTAAATTTACATTAGAATAATTTCATTAGCCTTCTGGTCCTAGCACATTGTGGTTTACCAAACAATATAGAATTGACAATATTTTCTAAGTAAACCTTTGAGAGATATTCAGATAGTTTAGAAAAACAAAAGCCTTAAACATAGTTTGATGTCCTTATTCACGAGAAACGGTCTCTATATTCTCTACCGGCAGTTTTTCTCTTTTGTGTCGGCGATATATTATAGTGTCATGGGTAAAAAATGTTATCATTTTAATAAAGTCTTTCCTATAGAAACCCCGTTGGGAATTGGACTTCTGACAAATATAATAACTATATTGTTTCATCGCACTGCTCAAGACCCCTACGAGTACGAGCAAGTGAATTATTGAAATAAACTTAAACCATATTATTATGTTATAGTCCCGATATGACTCTCGACACAAACCACGTCATTTCGGGATTGATTAATCCTTCAAAATAAACTCTGCTTAAAGTAAACTTGTCTGATTACACAACACTTCAGTGATGTTTAAGATAGAATGCGATAATTAGTTTGTTGTGGCTACGTGTGCAGTGCGGGAGGTGATTGGGTGTGTCTACTAGCACGGACTTTACCTGGACAGTCTACTCTTCCTCAAGATCGCATACGTACGACTGGATACCCGTGTCGCTACCGGGCTTATTTGAACATTCTTCTAAGCACAGCCAAAGGAATCTAACCCGGTATTTTCTGGTTGTGGGATTAGTGTCCTATCCCTTTATTTTTATCTTAAAGGTCGTGAGGTAAATAAATGCGGTCAGTAAACTCGGGGTACAAATGGCCCCAAATGTTTTATCGACTGTCTCTATCGGTATTAATAATTCAATTAAAATCGACATGAGTATTACACGACTGATGGTCATATTTGTTTTAACCGACTTAATTTCCGAGAAGGCACACGGAGCAGAACGATAGACTGGTTGTTTTGATGAAGAATATGGGAAATTTACATTTCCACAATAGAATTCATAAATGTCTTAGGGCAACATATATAAAAGAGCATTAGAGCTCTGGTGATCAAAAATAAAACTCAATTTGACCCGAGTTGCCTATACTGTTACATTGTGGCCGTTTCAGTTAGAGTATATGCAAAATCTAATGATATCCCTTATGATCAACGTGTTAGTCTATTCGATTATCCAAATGAAATGAAATGAAATGGGGTTTAACGTCCTACTGTTCTGCTCCTATACTGGGCTAATGAAGACAGGCATACGCCATACAGTGTGCTATGAGGGAAATTTTGCCCGGGCAGCGGCACTATCGCCTACTCTGATATCGAATTCCAACTGCCAAGGGATCTTTTACGTGCATTCCAATGTATACACGGGACCTCGGTTTTTCGTCTCATCCGAAGGACTAGACAGCTGTCCTTGTCAGGCCCTCCGTCCTGCATCACTGACAAGGGGGAATCACGCCGGAAAATCTGGATGAACTTTCTCGGCCAATGCAGGGATCGAACACCCGACCTCTAGGCTAGCGAGCCAGCGTCTTACCCACTTAGCCACTTGATCCCCCTATTCCATTATCCAACACCACGAAAGATATAATGATCTAAAGCGCACGCGTTATACCACCCTATCACAATATATGTTTGCCAACAGTACTCAATAAACACTTGAGAGATATTCAATAAATATAACAATAACTAAAATAATAATAAAAGGAATAATAATGATTAGTACTTGGCGTGCTTTCGTACATGTTGTTTTTTCCCCTTTTAGTGGGGCAGCTATGTGTAAAAAGCGTCCAAACCTGGTTACAAGCACTAAAACTTCCATGGGTTTGGGGTCATTGATTAAGACAATTCCGTTATCACTAAAAAAAGGAAGATATTTCGTTGCCTGATAAACGGCCATCTTGAAAATGGCCGCCATCTTGGATTTTTGAGTGGCTAATTTATTAAAAAGGTAGTCCTCAAGTAGTAGTTATGCCAATTTTGATAATTATATCCGCATTTGATCGATTTACCTGAATGAATGCAGTTATCTCCTGCATTATTAGAATTATGCAATGTGTTGATAGATCATTTTCTTGCCTCAGTAGCGGACGTTGAACCCCATTTTTGTTTCATTTCATTTCCTTTTGTTGCCGGGGATCACAGTGGCTAAGTGGGTGAGACGCCAGCTCACTAGCCTGGAGGTCGGGTGTTCGATCCCTGTATTGGCCAAGAAAGTTCATCTAGATTTTCCGGCGTGGTTCCCCCTCGTCAGTGATGCAGGACGGAGGGCCTGACAAGGACAGCTGTTTTGTCCTTCGGATGGGACGTAAAAGATCCCTTGACAGTTGGAATTCGATTTAAGAGTAGGCCGTAGTGCCGCTGTCCGGGCAAAATTTCCCTCATAGCACACTGTATGGCGTATGCCCGTCTTCATTAGCCCAGTTCGGAGCAGAACAGTAGGACATTAAACCCCATTTCATTTCATTTCATTTTGTTGCCTACAGAAATGACTGATGGATGTTTCATGAGTAACGAATTCTATATCGACCAACCACAGTTTTTTACGTTTTATATCAATTCCAATTTACTATATAATTGAATAGTGCCATGGGTAAAAAATGTTAACGTTTCATCATTTTAATGAAAGGGTTGCCGATAAAACGCCAGTGGGAACTGGACTGCCGACATCATAAGAGTTATAGATATGTCGGAAAAAAAATAATATATAGACAGTTTTGAGGGAAACGTTATTTTTTTTTTGATAATCATAAAAATATCACAAACACCATTAAAAGAAAACTATCTTTTGTTGCCATATTTTTTGTAAAATAACAGATACCAATATATGAAATAACGTGGAATAGAAATAGGTTGGTTTGACCGGTATATCGCACCATTATTATGCTATAATATAAAGAATTGTTTCTATCATTGTGTATTTAATAGACGGTTCAAATTGTACAACAAGGTACAAAATTCACCCATTTCCTGACATAAAAATGGCCTTGGATACCACCCAGAATGTCCTCGAATATAACATATGTATCATTTTAGTAAACAGACTGATATTATTATGAAATTTAATTAGCACATCCGAATATGAAAAAAAACATGCTTGAAAAAATAGTAGACTTGTTATTATTTTATTTATGATATAAGGATGGATTTAATAGAAAGCAAACAATACTACCAGATAGTCTACATCCATTGGAAGAACTGGATATAGTAATATTTGCTTTGGTACTAAGTTTAAAGCAGTATTTAATGTCCAAAGGGATGTTTCAGTGTGATCGCCATAAGGGCACAGACAACGTCAATAAAATACAAATTTGCCAGAGGAATTTGTCGTATGGTCTGTTTCATGACATGATTGCCGCCTTTAGATACGATAATACATTATTTTATTCGACTTTTGGATGGGGCTGTAAAATCAATAGAATATCAATGTGAACTTTAACAGCCATAACTTCTGTTATAATTGATCGAATGGATATATGCTTGTGAATGGTCTTAAACCTATAATTCTGGCACGTTTAGGAATTTATTTGGGAGTCTGACTAAATCTGGTGGTGCATTTAAACTGATAAGCATGTTCAGTTTGTTCAGTTCAGGTTCTGGGTCCGCCCTTAAAGTGTCGCTTAAGGGCTGTATTCTGGAACTTTGTAGGCCAATAAAGTTTGCCTCATAACCCCTGACTTGCCTTTTAAACTGATACTGTCACAGATAGTGTTAGGATGCACAGCAGTGTAGAGCCCAGCAAAAGCATAAACAGTAGGGGTGTTTAGGTAGTCGAGTGGTATAACGCATGCTTTTAGGCCATACGGTCTTATATTAAGTCATGTTTAATTCTCTTTTAATCATTTTATTATTTTTTTTTATTTTTCAGAATGTGAATGTTGAATAAACTGGTCTGTAAATGTTTGTTATGTATGGAACCATCTAATGTGGAACTATTTGGTTAATACCATCATCACTGGATACATGAAAGAGTGAAATATAGTCTTAGCTCGGATGGTATAATTATTAATCTTAACGCTATGCTACATTTGTTTTCATATTTCAAGATACTTAATATGAATGAAACAGCCATGATACCCCTTACGGACAAACAGGTTATGGATGTGTTAAACCATAAAAAGACCGTGCTTTTAATCCCGGCATTAACTTATACCGTTATACTAATGGTGATTGGTCTAATAGGGAATCCACTTGCTATTTATATCTACGGGTGGCGCTGGCAGAAAACCACGACCAGGAATTTCCTTCTGTGCATTTCAATTATTGACTTAATCAACTGCTTGTTAACTATGCCTACAGAAATTGCGCTTATGGAAAGTTTCTTTTATTTTGAAAACGAACATGTGTGTAAAATGTCGCGATTCACCACGTATGTTTTAAACAATACTACGTCACTGATTCTTGTGCTTATCGCGATTGACCGTTATATTCGAATATGTCGACCCCACACCAAGCCTATCCCTTACAGGGGTGCTTTCGTTGGCTCTGGGATTGCTGTCCTTGTTGGAATTTCCGTATCATGGCCGGCACTTATTTTATATGGACGACGGGAAGTTGTTTTGCCACTTCCGGGCAGAAATGTTACTGGAGTTATGTGCCTTGTTAAAAGTGATTACGTTCAAACAGAGTATCCCTTCGCTTTCTTTATATATTTGTGGATTGGTGTCACAGTTACCGCCATTGTCATTGTCATTATGTATTTTATGATTGGAAAGGAAGTGCTTAGGCGGAAACGCGAGAGAAAAGCAAAGATGAAATTAATGAACGATACATTAAAACGTTTTCAGATGAATCGAAGGAGTGTGACCTCAAACGGGAGAAATCGTGACCGTGAAGAATCGATACAGCTGTGTGAGCTTAGTATCATGTGTACTCCAAAATTTAAGCCTGGCAAATCAACTTTAATGCTTTTCGCCATCGCCGTGGTCTATTTATTAAGCTTTGTTCCATTTTTGATCGTCATAACTATACGGACGATACGTGGTGAACAATTTTACGACAACCTCTCAAGAGGGGAACAAGTTGTCGTAAATATCTTCATAAGGTCGTATTTATTTAACAACTGCTTCAATCCCGTGGTATATGGGTTGTGTAATTCCAAGTTTCGGCTAGAGGTCAGGGATATTTATCTAAGGTTATGTAAATGTCAAGGTCAAGACGATTTTCCGATACCAAGATCAAACAGTACTAATATCGATCGCTGATTTTTGTAGCTTTATATGAATACAAAGCACAATACAAATATTTCAGCTATGCGAATTTATCAACTAAGAAGTGTAACTAACCCGTTTAATAACATGTCACACGAAAAATCAAACTTTTATTGTTAATTCTTCATCGGACTCCGGATATTATTAAAGTGGTTTTAGATCTGTCCATCTCCACGAGAAATTGATTCCAGGGAGCCGAGGTGGCTCAGTGAGTCATATATTGGATCGCTAACCAGGAGGTCTCGGGATTGCTCCCGGTTTGCTCGGGATTTTCCGGCGTGTTTTCCCCTTGTTATGCCGAATGGAGAGTCTGATGTTGGGATCGGCCGAAATATGCACACTTTAGCATGCACGCACAAGAACCCTTGTTGACAATTGGAATTCGAATTAGTAGGCCGTGCCGTTGTCCGGGCAAATTTTCCTCATATCACTCTGTGTGGCGTATACCCATCTTCATTATCTCGGTCGGTGTAGAGAAGTAGGACCTTTAACCTCATTTCATTTCATTTTGCTAATTCTTCGTAGTTTCAACGTCATTAGTACTTGAACTGGAAATACACATGAAACAATTCTGTGTGATATAATTACTGTGTACTAGGATCCTCTGACCTTTTGTAAAATAATTGGATATTTCCAAAATTTGTGATATTGTTGTTTCAGTGATACAAAATCAGTATACGAACATTAAAATGTAAACATAAATATTGAAGTGTTCAGTGGCCAATGTTAAGAGATTCCCAAGCAATAGCATAAGCCCAGTTCGAATTGAAGTCATTCTTGGATAAATCCTATCTGGCGTCTTAAATTAGCATAGCCTATCGCAAATGCCTGAATGAATATGACTGATTTATGTATGGTCTCATCGGAACGTATAGGTGCTTTTTGTGGAAATCCATAATGTCAATATCGTTTTGTGGTCTTCGATTCTGAGCAATATACATGTAAATTGTATTATTTTGTGAAAGATATGTGATTCTTAAAATGTTTGTTATGTACCATTGGCGTATTGAACTAAGTATGAAATTAAACCGACACGCATTTCTTATTCCCTTTTTTCTAATCCATTGTTATGAATATCAAGAATCGCCATTTGTTCTTTCAGTGAGAGTTTAAACAGATAGATTATTCTCTTGCAGATATTTAGACACAAATAACAGGCGGAAGTCGTTCATAAAAGTTACATAGTTATAAGGGTTTTTATCGTGGTCTTTTTTATGCTTGAACTCAAAACATCTTAATTATAGGTAACTCTGTCCCCAGCCATTGTGTTTATTGTGGTGGCTGACGGCAAGACGAGCAAAAAAGATAGGGTCCATGGGTCTGCCAATTTAACACATATCATTTATTAATACTCATTTCCGACTTTACCCTTTGAACGACTTAAAGCGCAAGACAATACAGCTACCACGTATCGGCATTTCTAAATTCTATGTGGAATGCACGCTTTGAATGGTAATTTATTGAGCTTTCAATCACTGTATAACAGAAGATGTTTTGTAAAATTTGTGAAATGTGGCAAAGAACAGGGCTCCGTAGTTTTAACTAGCATATGAGAGTCCGCCCTCAATAGAAAGGGTAACCTAATGTTTTCGGCGTTACGAATTTTTGCCCCCATCCCCTAATCCCTCCACCAACAATTTCCAGGCTATTTTCGAATCATAGTTTCTTTTCTGGAGACAATTTAGAGTTCCGAACCTATTAAATCATACAACTATTATACTACTTGTTACCATGGATTAGATCGCCATACTTGCCCCTTTCCTTTCCCGTATATAACAACCATACAGTACAAATACATGACAATAATTCTAATACCACCAGTGTACAGGCCAATGGGATAATTATGTGTTAATCGTTGGCTGTGCCCTATTTTCAAAAATAAAAATTCACGCGCAAATGTCCTTAATGATCACTTAATTAATTATGGGGTTTCATGGCCGGTGTGTGTGTGTTGGGGGGGGGGGGGGGTATTGAACTAAATTTATCGTCTATGAAAATACAATGGCTCTGTGTAAAATTGGTGTAATATACTGCTACCCTGCCAATCGGTTATAGTGCATTTCCCACTTTAAAAACAAGAGTAAACACGCGATCATCAAGTTAAACATGCGTAAATTTGGAAAAGGAATTCTAGATCTGTCGACCGGTCTTTTGTCACCATAGCTTTAAAGATGGGTTCCCAGAAAAGTATTTATCGGGTGGTTATTTCCAATAAAAGTATGGCAATTTTGGTATATATGGAAAGTAGAGATATCCAATCTTACTAGAAAAATACTGGATTCCCCGAAAAACACTCATGGAGCGTATATAGGACAAAAATGTAAGGGTTCCCCTAATCAACAGCCCGACGATTAAGAATTTATGCACGCGTGATGTCAGAGGTCACACGCGAACATTGAGGGCTTGATGTACAAGTTGATAAACTTTATGAAGAGTTAGACGTACAACACTTTCTGAGTTAAAAATGACGGAAAAAGACGCGGGTAGTGGATAATCCGAGAATTTAATTAGGATTCGATATTTGTAATAAATAGTAAGCGATTAAAGACAACATCGTCTTATGTATGCAATGAATTCTCCTCTGATTTCCAAGACGTGACGTAAACATGACCTGGTTTGATCGAATTTTAATAGCAGGGCATTCCTTCGCAATTACAATGTTTGAGAAGGATTTGAAGCATAATTATGACAAATTAATTAGTTTGAATATGTTTTTAGTCCATATATACCATTAAATCAACCAGTTTGTACGCGGGAACCCATCTTTAACCATAATCCTGTGCACTGTTGTTTGTAATATGAACTACGTAATAAACAGTTTAGTGCTAACTGCGCAACAAAAGCACAGATCCAAAATGTCAAAGATAATGGGAAAACCTTTCACATTGACAAAGATAAATAAGTAATAATAGACTTTATTAACATGTCACTGTGACAACCACGGAATTCTATGTTACAACGGGTATATTTTCTTTTTTTAAAAAAACGTCAAAAATAACCGGAGAATGTCAAGAATATCGATTGATTTCTACAATGTGGTTTCGAATTTATAGGCATAAAAAGCGTAAATTTCAATAAATTTCAACTAATTATTGGGTCTTTTTATAGCCACATAATCTACTAACTGTATGAATCTATGTTTTACACCCGGAATACAGTCGTTCCGTTAAATATTTTTCAAGATTTTAATTGTTTGATTACAATTGGATTGAAAGGGGAATAACTCAAAACACGTACAATGGCATAAATATATTAGGACTAGTAATTATTTGCCCTTTGACTTAATGTTAAATCATTGACCTATAATATTTTCTTTAATCTTCCAGTGATCTTTATAACTGCAAAGAGATCAATATGTCTCATTTCAAATCGTTTGTTAAAAATATTGAAAGCGAGGTGACCATCCCATAATGTTTTTCAACGCTAGGTCGAAGGAATCTATAATCTGTGGCGTCAGCCCAGTACGTGGTTTCCCTTATTTATATATGTTACCGTCTGAACCTTCGTTGCATATTTACCAAACATCTAGCACAAAATGTTAATCCCGAAAACCTCATCGTTTCTAGATCAAAACGTTAACAGCAATTGTAATGCATATGGTGGTAGGTGGTGGGGGTAATTTCTATAGAGCTGGGAAAACAACATCCTCAGTATTCCCAGTGGTATCGTTCCATTCTAATCCACTAACCCATGGGTCCATTCACGGGGTTTTCACGAATTCAAATTATCTGCCGCTGTATACGTTTACCACAATAAAATAGCTTAACTATGCCCGATTATGAGAAGACTTGCAAGACATTTAATGTCAAAAAGTGACATGCACACAAAACGATGTCCTAAAGTATTTTGACAAAGTTTGCAACAACGTTCTTAGTTGCAATAAAATGCGAGTTATTTCCCTTAACCCACTCGTGAAAATTTTTGATTGTACTTAGGCGTTAGTTGAGTAGAACGGAACGATACCAATGGGCATACCGAGGCCAGGAAAGCAAGTACTAGTTATAGTCCTAATGTAAAAGAAAGTCAGATCGTTTATAATGGGATATGCTAATTTTACTTCATAAAGTTTAACAAACAGTTTAATTATTTTAACATATTTTAACAGGTGTCACTAAAGACATTCCTGTTAACATTTTGAGTTGTCGTAAATTAATTTTAGATTCATGCCGATATGTATAATGATTAGAACAGCTATTTTCGAGATCTTCATCATCATCGTCGTACGTATCACAAACATACTGAGCCATAACGTGAATATTTTAAATGTACTATACATAAACATAATATACTGTCATCGGGGATTAGGGGTGGGGGCAAACACATTTCCACTTATGTATAAAACACCACGAATCTAAATAGCAAACAAATGCAAAATCTAAGTAGCAAATTCCGTAAAAAAAACTAGCACTTGGGCTGAATTAAGGTGATACTATAGCACTAAAAATAAGTAGTGTGTCGTGATAAAAGCTAGCACTGAACACCAGCAATATTTAAGTTATAAAAGCTTGCAATAAAACCCAACAATATAAATGAAGTGATAAACGCTAGCATTCGGAAGGTACGGTGTGGTAAAGACCAACACGGATATGTAGCTCTATGAATTTCTAATTATTTATTGTGTCCACAGGAGTGTTTTGAGAATTCACGTTTTGTATAAGCTCCATCACCTTTCCTGATTTAATATTGACCGAAAACATCTATTCATATATATCACAATTGAATTTGGGACACAATATGTCTATATAACATTTACTCTAACATAATTCTCATATTATAGTCCATCACAGATTTAGGCACTATTTTACCATAATCACAGTCTGTTTTTGTGGACCTAACACCGGGTGTTGATGGGCTAAAATCACCTTATAATCCAATGCCGTCCCCAGTCTCTAAGCTGGGTCTTTCTTCGACAGTGGCGAAAAACTATCAAAAGAGCATCGTTTTGTGTCAAACTCGTGCATTCCATTATATACCCCGCGACGTGTGTAGTTTTGAAACTTTCTGTTTAATCACACAGGGTCGCGTATAGTTAAATACTTTACTCTTTCATACAGTAGTAAGTGAAAATGAAATGCAATTTAACGTACGAATATTCTGGGGTAAATGAAGAAACGCGCATGTAAAAGGAATCAAAGACTTAAGGTCGCGTATTGGATACCATTGTCGTTTGCGTGTTTGATGATGACTGTGAGATCTAGGGGGTTGAGGCCCTATTATTCTCCATGTAAAAATTCGCGTAAACCACCGCTGTTTCTTTTAGTGGGTTCCACATCCGGTCTAGCTATATATGACGTTAACCCACTCATAGGTTTATAAGGGTATCTTGAACTAGAAGGAGAATTACTGTTAGTAGATACTGCACTCTTGGGTCGCTCTTTGTCTTTATTGTAATCTGTAAATTAAACAACATAAATGTAATTTATTACTGTGTGTCAATTGGGATTACATGATTGGTGGGCACGGTTCTTATTAATACAGATAGTAGAGGAGGGGGCTGGTTTTTACACCATTACTGATAATAACAGTATCGGGGATGGTTAGTTTTACATCACTTCTAATAACGATAGTGTAGTTTTTTTTATTCCAGGATGTCTGAATGGGATTGGGGAACAGGCTTAGCCTATGTTAAACCCCTCTCCCTAGATAATATACATACATAGTATTAAAAAGGATAGTGTAGTTGATGGTTGATTGCACACCAATACTGATATTAGTGGTTGTTGGTTTTTTCACAGTGTGGACGATGGGTGGTTTTAAACCACTGCTGATAGTGATAGTTCGGCAGAGAGCTGACTTTACACCACTACTGATAGTGACAGTTTGGGGGATGTTGACTTTACACCACTGCTAATAGTGACCGTGTGGTTGATGGTTGGCTTTACAACATCACTGATAGTGACAGTGTGGAAGATGGTTGACTTTACATCACTACTAATAGTAATACTGTGATCCATGGCTGATATTACACCACTACTGAAATTGATAGTCTGCCGTATGGTTGACTTTATACCATATCTGATAGAGACAGTGTGGAGGATGGTTGACTTTACACCACTAGTGTGGTGGGTGTTTGGTTTTACAAGACTACATTGCTAGTAGAGGAGGACAGTTTGTTTCACAGTGTAGGCGATTATTTGGTTGTACTACTAGTACTGATAGTGATAGTGTGGCAGATGGCTGGATTTACACCACTACTGATAGTGGTGGAGGGCCTTTTTTAACAACGCCGTTGACAATAACTCTAGATGGTTGACTTAACACCTACTAAGAGTGACTGCATAGTCAATGCCTGGGTTGCGAACTAAAGACGCCAAGCCTAGCAGGATAAGTGGGGATATAACCAATACGTTTGTCCAATACATTGTGGAGAATCCACACACAGTAGCATTGGTTGTGTAATACTAAATTATCATAATCCGTATGAAGGTTTGCATGCTGAATGTTCTAATCAATCAGATTAAAACACATATCCTATTTCGTTTCGTTTTTATAGTTCCAAATTTCGTTTTACTTGTCTTTACTACACTAGGATCTGGAAGAGTTGTTATATTACCGGCGTTTTGGATGAAGTGAGGGATTAGCCAAAAAAAACGGTCTGTTACGGTGAGTTCTTGGCCGTTTGATGCACGGAACTGAGGGTAAATCACTAGAAACGTCAACGCTGATTGATTAATCAATCCCTGACTTCATAGGGTCAAAAACCGCTCGTTTGACCCCTGACGTAAACCTCCACGGTAACTTGTCAGATTGTGTTCTAATGGGCTGCCTTTTACTCTACTCCCAGTATGAAAAGTATACTTACGTTGTGATAGTTTTCTAGTTGCTAAGGTGAACAATATCAAAAATAAGACAAAGACAACAACAGTTGTTGCTAAACTAGCTGATAATACGATCATTTCGTGCTCGGTCATTCTCGACAATGACGGATTGTTTGTTGCAGGACTAGTGTCTAATTGTTGTTCTACTATATGAAAAAAAATTAAAATAAGTTAAATAATATTTTGGTAAAACAAATATATAAATTTTGTTTAATGAATGACAGTGGCTTCCATTTCGAATACCATCTACATAACAACGTTCAGAGTGTCAGTATAGTTTTGTAATTCACGTTGTGTATGGCAACACGTCATTTCACAGAATTAAATGAACTTTTGATGGTAAAGACACTAACATTTACAAGATATTTCGATCCAACAATTATGATTAGATACTCAAGTTTAATGCGCACTATGTTCAGATAAAAGTTTAATTCACACTGCATTCAGAAAAAGTTTTTTAATTGCCACTAGCTTACTTTGAGATGAAAATTTAATGCACGCTTACTTACATTTAAATTAAAGTTAAATTCAAACTGGATTATATTCGAATACAAGTTTAAATCATTAGGGATTAATTTCGGATAAAAGTACAATTCAACTCATTTTCGGATAAAAGTATACTTCAACATACCTTCTGTAAGTGTAACGCCTTGTTTTGACGTAAACCAATCACCACATTGGACGTGACAGTAATACATCATATCAACATCGCTGTTATTAACATTTAATAATCTAAGAGTTATACGCCCTTGGCTAATATTGACAGTCACTATGCTGACTTCAAACTGGCTCGATTTTACTGAACTAGATTGGTCACCAGACACGGTAGTTGTTGATTTATTTTGAGCTGTTGTAGCATCCTGCAAAATATATGTTGATATGTGGTGAATTAATCGATGCACATTGCCACCCGGGATGCTTTGGCATTTCGGGACTAACAAACGGTTCAATTTTTAAATCCGCTTTCCTGTAGGGGTCTTTAGCCATGGGACGAAACCGGAGGATCCGCAGAAAACTCACAAAGTTGGACATGCGACTCTACTCCTTGTCAGTACAAACTGGGAATAGAAACCACGCTACATGACCCAATGACAGACCTTAGGTTCTAAAGCACACACGTTAGACCATTTGGCCAATAAACTATATATACTGAATTTGAAGGAGAATTGATGGAAACGTTGCTGTATGGGCCTCTTCTCCCCACCCACATATTGGGTAGACTGAATTACACTGGTATAAACATTCTTATACATGAACTGGACATACAGGAATAACCTCAACTCTCTAAACGCTGAGGAAAACATTTTTTTTTCGTTTACTCCCACAATTCTTCGAATTCCAACTGACAGTGTTTCTTTTAAATGTAGATATGCGAGACTTGGTTTTTACCTCCTGCCTTAACGACTTTTCTTGGTAGATCTGCTACACGTATTATTACCAAATGATATTTCTGATTAGTAGTCCTCCCTAGTTCGGATTATATGTCGACTTAAGCGTACGTTTAACATATGAAAAACTCACTTCTAATCTATACATTTCAGAACAGCTAAAACGATACCCGTTGCAGTATGAAGTATAGAAGATCATAGGCTGTATATAATATATTGAATCTACTAATGGACCATTGAAAACAAGTGTGACATGTTTAATATGTTGATAACGCCCGGTGGGGACCGGGACTATAATATTGAATACTAACATTTACGTTCTATACAGAATGGTCGAGAATAAAATGGGTGATTTGATAATATCATAAAGCCATCTTACCATGCTGCTAGGTTTCGTATTTGAGCCTGGTATTAAGTTAGGGTTAGAGTTAGTTATCTCTTCGGTAGTCGTCGAATGGTTCACCGTTTCAAACCTTTGAGATATTTCAAAGATAGCTGTCAAATTAGTTTCTATCTTAAATCCACGTTCTGGTGTCCACATTCCTATATTCTCTACCTGTAATTAAATTCAAGTTGACTTATACCAGGTTTTATTTAAATTATACTACCTCAGATATAAGTATGTCAGCTATTCGACTCTGTATAAAACGAATAAACTAACGCCAGACAATGTTCGAGATTGGATTCAATCGGCCTAAACAATAAATTTGATAAATTTTCGCAGATAAAAAATGGCGACCGGCTTTTTAATTTCACACACCTTTGTAAATATTAAACAGAATTGGACCATTTTTGGATTGATATTGCTATAAGAGATTGGGGCTTGGGTGGACGAAGGGTCAACAGGTGCGCGTGAAATCACAAGGTCTGTCTTTGAGTCAAGTGGCGTGGTTTCGATTCCCCGCTTGTACGCGACAAGGAGTAGGGTCGCCTTCCAGCCTCGTGGGTTTTTTCCAGGTTCTCTGGTTTCCTCCCACTGCTAAAGACTCCTACGCTCATCATAACCTAATAACCCCAACAATTATTACAGACCGTCAACTATTTAGCCCAATGTAGTAACTTAGCACTTTACACGTTACTAAGTAACGCCTGCTCTCGTCTTGTTATACGTAATGACCGCAATCTTATAATCTGTAGTTTCTCAAAATACTTAAACGATATAATAACGTTTTATCAACAAACAATTTCTTCGTGTAGTATGGCTATATTTTTAATAGAGAAATGAAATATTATATAATGTTACCATGGGCCAGTCCGATTAATATCCTGAATAGCGTGGGTATTATTTCTCATGTATCCCTGTCGTCCTTACCTTGTTATTTGTTGCATTCTTTCGAGTGATTATTATTTTATTTGGAGATTTCTCCGTTTGATAATTCCACATCAACTCTACGTCTCGACTTATAGATGTCTTTACAGGGGTGGGGTTTACTGGTATCCATTTAAATCCCACATCTAAATATAAATATATAATTTGAAAAAAATGTCTCGTGGAATTAAGGCAAAACATAACCAAAGTGGTAATAATTATGATTTAATGTGACTTAAAGTGGAAAACATAAAAAAACGAATGCTTGACTCGATTCCACTCGAGTTGTTTTTTCTGTACCTGTTATCAGAAGCATGACATAATATAATTGCTTTCTTTCATTAGAATCAATACTTAATAGTACTGTTGAAGAAATTAGTCTCAGATTTCAATTAACAAGTTTCTTCTTTCACGGACCTCGCAAATACAAATTGCATGGTTCAAATCCAAAGGTACAATTGTTAGATATGTAAACTTCTCAAATAGGCGAGACGTGTTATCATGTGTTAGAAACCTTAATAGGACATACCGACAGGTTAAACATTATAGTAAGGGTATCAAAGATTGAATACAAAAAACAAAACAAAACATGTTTTAGTTATGTGAACATACGTTAAATAGTATCAAGTGTTCACATAAAGTAAGCACACTCTGTCTTATACGTGATGCCATTCACTACTTATATTATATTTTTTTACGATAATGATAAACATACCTTCGATAAGAGTTATAGGTTGATGTGACTTAGCACAACCTCTATGACAATCTAGTTTTAAATAATAAGACAAGTTATAATCCTTCGTTGTCGTATTATATAGTGTTAAGTAGATATTTTCTACAAAACTATTTTCGCTTTTTGTTAGGTTAAATGTCATTCTAGTGGTTTCACTCTTAAACACACCATTGAACCAAAACGCCAGCATTGTCACCTGCAATAAAAACATCATTTTAAATCAGTATTTGAATATCCCTACCCAAGGAAGCGGACATAGGCGGTCAACACGATGTTGAGATCTATCATCTATGAACGCAGTGGGACCGAACTTACTATTGTCCGTGCAGCGTACTATTGTAAGACAAGATAGTAAATGAAATGAAATGAAATGAAATAGGGTTTAACGTCCTACTTTTCTGCTCCGAACTGGGCTAATGAAGACGGGCACACGCCATACAGTGTGCTATGAGGAAAATTTGCCCGGACAGCGGCACTATGGCCTACTCTTATATCGAATTCCGGTCAATCTGTACACGGGACCTCGGTTTTTCGTCCTGCATCACTCACAAGGAGGAACCACGCCGGAAAATCTGGATGAACTTTCTCGGCCAATGCAGGGATCGAACACCCGACCTCCACACTAGCGAGTCAGCGCCTTAGCCACCGTGACCTCCAGACAAGATAGGGCAAAAATGACTTAGTTATGTTAATTGGTCGCATCCTTTCGTATCTTGTGTTATAATTGCACTGTTTATCATATCTTCATAACTAGTGTTATACTTACAACGCCTGTTTTATCTTCGGTATATAAGAAAATATTCTTTTTAAGTCGTCTAGATAACAGCATATACTCCCATTTGATAGTTACATCATCTCCTGGACGGACTTTTATAGGCTCATCGTCATTATTCCACTGAAAATCTGTGATATATATAAAACTAGTTAAAACCTAGGTGGGACCTTGGGAACCCCTGTACATCCACCAGCAACGCCTTTATCATGTATTGTACTACAATTGCAGCATTCGGAGTGAAAATCTAAATGGTTACACAACTAAGCAATTTCAATTTGGAACATTTGGAACTTTCATAGCGTTTGACTTTAGAATCAAAATGTTTAAACATGCATTATGCAAGAGCTAAATCTGCCTGTTGTGGGTCTTTATATTATACATTAGACATTTATTAACATGAAAAGACCATAATCAACTCTCGATGCCATCTTATGTGTCCGATTCTGTTTATTGGATTTGAATCCGATCTTCTGTTCAACGCCCGTTGATGAGTAACCGCAAAATTGTATAATTGAGGCTTTGTTAATTATCGTGACAGCGGTAACAATGACAATCGAGTGATTTTAAAATAATGTTTTTTCGGCTTGGAGTGAAGCAATTTGACTGAAAATTTCAGAATATGCCCTGTACATTATCTAGTTTTAACTATAATAGTAAGAACTGCCAGCTCTTTATCTAATCTTTTATAATGTATCTTTAAATAAATATACACGATAACTCTAAAATAGATCACACAATTTGTAAGCCATGTGAATTCCTCAGATGCGAGGTAGTATCGAGTGTTTTATATAGAATACATATACCCTGCCTTCTAGGCTACACCACATCCTCAATATTATATATAGTTAAGCGATGGATCAAAAGTTTTACGCTGGATAATGAATACAGCTTCACTTCAAATATAAAAGCACGCCCTGTATAACATATCTCAGATATCTATATGGGCCCTTGCATATACCAAGAGTGTATGTTGAATACATATTGTTTAACATATTTATACATCTTTACCACACTGGTGACGAGTACCAAATCTAATTAGCACTAAAATGAAATATATTAGGCCGAGATTTGCTGTGCCAACAATTTGTCACCTTAATACAGTTTTAGTACATTTTAGATTTACTCAATTATTGGGCTATCAGCGCTTCAAAAATACATTTATTATTCGTGTAACGATCCCTCAAATAGTCTTGATCATTATAACCTATATTATATTGTTTCAGCTTCGATTATAAAATTATAATATACGTTATCAAAGGTCATGAGATTCCCGTATGTCTTAAGATTTGATTACAGGGAAAATGTGCAGAATGCATTGGTAAGTGGTGGATTGAGACAATATTTCCCATCGTTATTGCCTGAATTGTATACGCGAACAACTAGAAATCCAATTCAAATTATCTGCCCTTGATGACTGTGCTATTTTTATCGACCAATAAACAGGGTACGCTTGATAGTATAACGACTTGTCACTGCCTGTTATGGTTGACATAAATAAATATTTCCCACCATAAAGATGTTTTAGGTCACCTCTTTGTGTGCATATCACTTCTTTTCTATTAAATTGTCCCATTGCTGTGAACGTAAACAATTTACTAAGACTGGTTTCGAAACTGTTTTTTGATTGGTTCGTAGATTCAAGCTACGACCAAGGGCAGATAATTTGAATATGTGAATACCCATGGATGATCCCAGGGTATAGTGGAGTAGAACGAATGAGACCGCTGCAGATACCGAGGATGGCACAACGACTGCTCTTTTGTCCACACAAATATTCGTTGTAGTCGACGTGTGGTCTGTATAGGCCGGGGTGGTCGAGACAATCGATCAAACCTCTGCCAAACAAAACTAGTTCTGAATGAAACTAGGGAATCTAAATACATACACAGGTATGATATAAAATAATTACCTATAACTGTTAGCTGTGTATGTTTATATAAGTGTAGTTTATCTAAAGTACAAATATAATGACCAGTATCTTCTAATGTAGCATTGTTTATAACAAAATGTAGAACTGTTTCAGTCTCACCAACTTCTCTCTTTACCTCCATGGGTTTACTTATTGAAATATTCTCATCTTTCAGTAAAAACGAAGTTAATTTCACCTTTATAAAAGAAAAACATTGATAACCAAACGAATGTATCTAACTTACAGTATTTTTAATAATACTGGTGGTGTTAACCTATATAACTTACAGTAGTTTAGTAATGTTGATGGTGACAGTGTTAACCTATATAGCTTACAGTATTTCTGGTAATGCTGATTGTGCTAACCTATATAACTTATAGTATTTATGGTAATACGGAGAGTATTAAGCTATATAACTTACAATATTATAATATATAGCTTACAATGTTTACAATATTTCTGGTAATACTTATTGTTTGCAGTATATCTGATAATAGTTATGGTATCATTATAACTTACAGTATATCTGATAATAGTGATGGTATCATTATAGCTTACAGTATATCTGATAATAGTGATGGTATCATTATAGCTTACAGTATATCTGATAATAGTGATGGTATCATTATAACTTATGTTATTTTTAGTAATAGTGATGGTATCATTATAACTTACGTTATTTCTAGTAATAGTGATGGTATCATTAAAATCATTGTGTATATGCCATTTTAAAACTGTTGAACAGCCGGTAATAACAGTTTCTACTTTACTCCATTCATCTTTACACACGATACCTGTCAAATAAAAATACACAATCGCAATTATAATGTTCAAAGCCAGGTACGTAAAATATAAAAATTAGATTAAAATAAAGTGTCAAAATAAAGTGTTAAAATGGGTTGATCTGGCTGTCATTTCGACTCCAGGTCTATTATATACGATCCGAATTTCGTTTCGAATTATTTTGTCAAAGTCAGTTGGTTTACCAGTATTAGTTGGCTTAAAATATCGGATGTCAGTTAATATGATTTTATTGTAATAAACTCTTTGCTCTCAAATACATTTACAGGCAACTAAGGGATTTTATTATCAAAGAGCCATTACTATTTTCTTAGTGACAATGATCCATTTATTACTAAAACATTCCTTTACCAGTACAATAAATTAAATATCAACATCATTATTTTGTGTAATAGTGTCGTAATTGAGGTTTGATTAATTACTAAATGAATATTATAAATCTATTACTAATCAATACAATAAATGAAAATTATTGTTATAATAACCAACTCAAATTAATCAGTTTTATATATACTATTCAAAAAAAGTAGGGGATATTTGATTTTTAAGTGTTATTAAAGTCACCTAATGAAACTGACGAAGAAACAATGACAAAATGAAATGAAGTTCACATTCATCGATTTATTCCAAATGATCGTTAGACTAAGTAAGGCACAGACTGACCATTATAAGGGTAAAATGATACCCGGGGTCAAACAGCAAAGTTACCACAGCATCACAACCAAGTCAGTAACGGGTAAATCCTCCTCTGTTTGCCAAACAAGCATTGATCCGACGTGGCGTACTCCTAATGAGACGTCTAAGGTCATTTTGGTCCAGATTGTCCCATTCCTGTTGCAACGCAGCAGCAAGTTCTTCTTGGACATTGGCAGGACGTTGTTGACGTTGACGTAACCTCTGTCCAAGCATGTCCCAGACATGCTCGATGGGGGAGAGGTCGGGACTCAGTGCTGGCCAAGGTAATGTGGTGATGTTCTGTTGTTGGAGGTAACCTGTAACGATCCTGGCCCTGTGACATCTTGCGTTGTCATCCTGGAAGATGAAACGGCGGCCATGACGTCGTGCGAACGGCACAACATGGACTGCCAAGATGTTGTCCCGGTAGTACTGGCCTGTAACACGCCCTGCAACAACATGTAAAGCCGTTCTTCCAGCAACAGTGATGCCTCCCCACACCATAACAGAACCACCCCCAAATCGATCATGTCTGATGACGTTAACGTCTTGGAAGCGCTCGTTTCGACAACGCCATACCCTCCTACGTCTGTCCAAAAAATCAACAGTGAACCTTGACTCATCTGAAAACATCACATTGCTCCAGCGTCGATTATCCCAGTGTTGACGATTTCTACACCAACGACGTCTTGCCTGAATGTGATGATCTCTCAAACAAGGGATCACGCGAGGACGTCGGGCGCGAAGGTGACCCCTATGCAGTCGATTCCAAATCGTCTGGCCACTCACTCTCACACCAGTGTCTGTTTGAAGACGAGCGCTGATCTGATTTGCTGTGATGACACGATTTCTCAAGGCCAAGGTACCGATAAATCGATCCTGGGCTTGAGTTGTCGCCCTTGGTCGACCTGAGCGTGGTCTGTTCTGTACAGATTGTGTATCACGGTATCTGGACCATAGCCTGCTTATGACAGACTGAGAAACATTCATCGTCCGCGCCACAACCGCCTGTGTTGTGCCGATCTGTAGCATGCCAAGGGCACGTAACCTTTCATTTTGGGTAAGCCGACGCATATCAAAATTTGTTTTCTGGTCACTAAAACAATTAAACTGATGTTTCCACCCTGGAATTCAATGCCACAATGACTGTAACATTCAAAGTCAGAGTCGTGCAAATCTTGGGTTGGACCCCCATGATGATCCCAAGCATCACCTGCATTCCATGCGGTAGCTATTGGTGCGTTTGGGCGTCACATGTAACTGGAAATGTTTCTTCTGTTAGGTTCTATAGTGACTTTTTTCGTAGTCATTTGCATATTTTAGTATTATGCCCCCAAAATCAAATATCCCCTACTTTTTTTGAATAGTATATAATATTCAGTCAGATATCATGATGACTTAATCATGTCCATATAATATTATTCCCCTTTATATATAATTCATATTAATCTAATAACCTTAGTAGTGAGGAAAAGGGAAAGAGAATTAGAAACAGGGGCCTTCGGTAATCCAAAGGTGGCCACCTATAGATATTGGTACAGCTCACGGTTTAACAATTTCATCAAATAATGAAATCAACAGTATACTCCCCGCATTCATTTATATTCTTTATATACAAAATAAACCATGCCGGCTAAGCAGCATAACCTTGTAGAAACCCTTGTAGAAACGTCCCAAAAATACAATACTTCATAGGTAATTTTGAGAATAACATATATTTAATTTCCATTTATATTCGTAGGGGGTAGGGGTGGATGGCCGAATGGTTAGCACGTGCGTGCTGTATCACACGGCCTGTCATTGAGTCAACTGGCGTGGTTTCGAATCCCCGGTTGTGCGTGGCAAGGAGTAGGGTCGCCTGTCCAACCTCGTGGGTTTTCTCCGGATCCTTCTGTTTCCTCCCACTGCTAAAGACCCCTACGCGCAAGCGAATTATTGAAAAAAATTAAACCATATGTTAGCCCCGAAATGACCTAGTTTATGTCGAGTGGACGTTAAACCCAATTTCTCTCTCTCTCTCTCCCTCTCTCTCTCTCTCTCTCTCTATCTCTCTCTCTTATATTCGTAGTGTGTGCAATGTCTACTCTTATTTTAGTAACCCACAACGTGTACAGGCTTGGAGCTATCACGGGTTTTCGTCCAATCCCAACGTCTTTCTTTGTCAGCCCCGAAGGATATTTGATAAGCAGGATCTGGGCTTGAAACATCATTCGAACAATGGCTATTTTTATCAGTCTCCTAATCCATATCCAAACATGCACGAGACAGACTATGCTTACTCTTTCGAGAACATAATTCCATCTTTAGATAATAAAAAAAACTGCTGCAGTACTTTGGTATTCAAGATAACTGGACAGGTGACCGTGGGCCCGGAATTTCGCTCTATCTAGTAGGTATGTCTTCCAAAGTGCAGCTCCAAACTAATGTTTCATTAAGTTGACGTGTGTCGTGTACGTTGCATGATATACTATGATACCTGATGTCGTCCAACATGTTTTTGAGTATTTACAGCGTTCACCTTTGTATTGAACTGTGTGGAATCACAGAATTGTAAAAGCTGCCTTCAGCCATATCGCTTCTTTACAAAGTTCATTTAACAACATACATTAACGATTTTAATAAGTTTGATCTTCCGAAAGATTATGCTACTTTTTACCACGACATGTGCCTTAAATCATATATGGACGATAAAATAGACATGGGGTGATTTAACAACGCTGGTATCTCATGTATAGTTTTGTTATGTATGGTATGTTCGTGTCCTGTTCGACCTAAACAGTGTCCTGTTTTCGTGCATGTAGCAAAGGTGCGTACTAAGCGTGTCACCCTGATCTTTATGTTTGTTGGCGTTAACAATATTATCTTATTCAAATACAATGACAGAATCCTCACCAAATACTTATTAGTTCTGTATAAATACATATGATAACCTTTGGGAACATGTCAACAAACAGATTCATAGATGTATTCTATTTTAGCAATGTACCCCTTGTGACGCCAACGCACTGTTATACATATACTGTATTTTTGAATAAAGTGACATTGAGTTTGAATACCTTTCAACTTAATATCATATATAACAATTAAACAGAAGTAACACATTAAAGCGTCGCCGTCCTTACCCGAATAATATATGTTTTGAATCATATGTGATAAGGTTATAGAAATTAAACAAATGATGATAGGGGAGTGGTTATTAATGGCGTTTACCTGTATAGGGTTAACCCTATATATATATATATATACACACATATGCAGACATTTACACTACACACCTTCATGTCAGCAAGCCGTTTTATGAAGCATATCTATTCATTAGGAGTGAAATCCCACTCCTTAACTAATTTTTGTCCTTAAATTTATAATCGTCTAAAATATAACTGATATGTAAACTAAATGTATATGTTTAAAAAAAAATCGGTGTCAATTCAGCCTTTGGTATAATGGAGTAATGTACTTGATAACCCCATAAACAGACAATATCATTCCAACCAAGATTATATAATATATTATGAAATACACATTGAATAATACCATACTTAAATAAGCCTAGATTTACCTAATTATCGAACATTCTAATACTGATATGACTAGGATAAGGCATTTAACGCAAGGAGAATTCTCCTTAACAACCAAAATAAAAGTTTATACAATAAGTATAAATCTCAGGGATGAATTAACATTATACGTATTCTTATTTTCTTAAATCAGCTTTAAGTGTTTAGTGCGAAGGAATTTGTGTACCTATTTATTGTGTTAATGGGAGAGAAATAACAAAAAAAAAATATTAACATCGGATAAAGAAACACGAAGTCGTATAATCATTGAAATGTACTTACCTAATATACTTGAGTACATAACAACAAAAATCCATACCCATCGTTTATCTTGGAATAACGTCATCTTTATTTAGTTCTGTACTCTTTAAAGAATATTCCTAGTTAACCTGTCCAATAAATAATTTAATAGCTGATTATTATGGTCAGTTGCCATGCAGGAATGTCGCAGGTGCATTACGGAAACCAAACGGAAATATCTAATAACCGTACATTCTATTGCAAACATAAAAGTGGCACATTAAGCAAAAATAGCTTCAATTAGGTGAAATAAAAATATGTGTTATATAAGTTGAAACCAATTCAAACAGCCAGAGGATAAATAATATATCTTGTTAAATTAATCGTGACTAGTTACATATCAGTCAGTCTATTCACATGGATATATTCTATGTATCAAAACACAACCTACCGTTAATATTACACATCCAATTAGAAAAGTGTGTTTCCTTATTAAGTTTACATATCCAACTAAACGGGCTTTTTTTTAAAAACAAAAAAAGAAAAGAACATCCCTCTACTTGCATGACATCACACAAGACTGCATTTAATACTCGTTCATTATACACCTCAAATTGTAATCTACTTCATGCACTTGTCATCGTTCAGTCTCTGTGGACAGAATACAGAAATAGATTATATATTTAGTACATTCAGATCAGCCTTTACTATAACACCTACAACTAGCGTGATTTATAAATACATTCAATTCAATTAAATAAACCGGTTTCTACAAAACCTCTACGCCTTGACATAAAAACAAATATACACACAAAACAAACACACCAAATATATAAAAACTAAATATTTCTGATTCACCTAGTGACGTTCTCTGTGCATAGAAACAATTAATGTGAATACATATATTCTTAGTTGTGTCGATTTTAAGTACGGTAGACTTTTTGTCGTTATGTGCGAATTAAGAATAGTGTATTTCTAAAGTTTCATGACCACAACGTGGAATTAAAAGTGCATTTCAAACGCCTCATAACAATAGAATTAAAGTTTGACAAAAATTTAGCCCAAATCAAATGTTTGATAGTTACATTAACGATGCCCAGCCAAGTTCATAGCTAGGATTGCCAAATATCAACCCTAACAAGTTTGTGCGTAACAACATAAATGTTTATAAGATATTTGTTCTTCTTCTATTGAACTCCATTGGGGTGTAAAATAATTTGCACAAATGTCTTTGTACTCTTCCTAATAATGACTTCCTTATGGCTAGATAAGAAAATATTTACAATTTTAACAAATATGTAAATAAATAATTTATACTTTACCTTCTATCAAAAATATGTATTTTTTTTTTAGTTTGTCTCTTCGAGTAATATCAAAATCTCCCAATAGAAAAACTCGATTGCCTGAAGTTTAATTCGATTTACTTGAAGTTAGAAACATTAACACTGGTTTTAGATCAGCGATTATACTCCGTGTCGCATGTAATCGTAAGTATCACGTTAAGCTTTAGACAACTAATTTAGAAAAAATGTAAGTGAATGTCTACACTTTTACACGTAATTCTATTTAATCGGCACGAATTACCTTTCTACACTATCTTCATTAGTCAACAGTATAATTTAAACATGTTTGTCGTGTTTCAAACCAAGAGAGGAGCCGAATACTGTATAAAGATATATTCCTTGGAACATAATTAGGTCATTATTCGACTCTCTAAACATATTATTGTCTGAAAGTATGTTAGTCCGCATCAAGATAGACGAGGTCAACTTTTTACAAACCATAAACCACTAAGAATGCCTTTACTATATCTTAGTTCATCTATTGTCCGGTAACGGTCCTGTGTATCCAAGATCGTGACTATCGAGGTGATATATCTCCAAACAGTGTGTCTCTTAATCCAACATAAGTAAAATTGTATTAGATATACCATACCTTCAGGACACAATGAGTCAATACTGTATGATATTAATCTAAATGGGAATAACTACTGTTTTGACATGAATAAGCTAGCCGTTAGCAATAAGAAGTAATGCCCTAGTCTTGTATATAAGGAAAATATATCAGTAATATATGATTTCTTATTTAGTGGTGATTTTTAATCTATATTCGTAATATGGAGATTAAAGGTTTATTATTATCAATTGTTGTTTTAGCATGAATTTGTAGATTTCTTATTGATTAATAATAGTTTTCATAGGTATGAGGTTTAACTTTGAATGGCTTCAGCTTCAAACTGTTAAGGTTTCGAATCCCCGGTTGTACGTGACAAGGAGTAGGGTCGCCTGTCCAACCTCGTGGGTTTTCTCCGGGTCCTCCGGTTTCCTCCCACTGCTAAAGGTTCTACGCGCAAGCGAATTATTGAAATAGAATTAAACCATATGTTAGTCCCGAAATGACCTAGTTTGTGTCGAGTGGACGTTAAACCCCATCTCTCTCTCTCTCTCTCTCTCTCTCTCTCTCTCTCTCTCTCTCTCAAATTGTTAAATTAGTTTATGTTATCCGTTTGTTCTGTAACATGCTGATTGTATCATTGCTTGATGACGGTGAGAGTGTCCTCATTGAAACGTTGCAGTTAATAAACCTAGTGAATGTTATCCATAAAGCTGTCTATTATTAGGAACATATTTGTTTAATAATCTTTACTCCCATATTTCATACAATATTTGTTAACGTGGTTTAATCATTTAGATAAAATGCCACAATAAATGTATTTAGCCTATTTACTTTGGGTGAAAATCAGCTGTTAAAAAATGATCGCCATTACATTATAACATTGGTGAACTAATTAAATATTTAATTGTGTGAGTGACCGAATTACCACTATTTGACATTCTAAACTTGTTTAACCAGACACTAATATAACGTAGAGTGACGAACTTCGTCATCAACCACTCATGGCTACTGACTTTTTGATATTTCTTGATATTTCTTAGAACTTCTAATGGTAGGTCAGGGCTGGAACAGTTTTTAATTGCCGATCGTGGATTATTATCTTGTTTTTATTGACTATATATATATATATATATATATCAGCGAGAGCCCCTTTAAATCGTGAATCATCACACTCTGTTTTTCTTTTTTAATTACCTGTTGAACTTGTATGTATAGAAAATAGATGTGCGATTTGTCTTATGCCGCAATTCCAATCTGGTTAAAACACAGATCCTATTTCGTTTCGTTTTTATAGTTCAAAATTCCGTTTTACTTGTCTTTACTACACTTGGATCTGGACCGTTTATTTAACTCGTGTTCTGCTTGAAATGAGGGGTCAGCCAATCAAATGGTCTGTCGAATCGAGTGTTTGACCTTTTTTGCCCGGAACTGTGGGTAATCCACTAGTAACACCAATGCTGATTGGTTAATCAAATGTCTGACGTCATAGGTCAAAAGTCGGTCTTTTGACCCCTGACATGACCTATCGCTATAACTTGTCAGATCTTCATTTAGTGTAGGCCATCGAAAGTATAAAAAAAACGAAACGAAATATAGATCTGTATTTTAATCAGATTGGCCGCAATTCCAAGATTTTAAAAAGTAGGACAAATAGTCTCACACATTGATTTTAGTTTAATTGTTAAAGGTTTAACGAATCTTTGTAAAAAAAAATATTTAAATTCTAATCACTACCTTCGCCCAAGATGCTTTATCTTTCACAAGATTTTGTTAATGTTTATTTACAAAAATACACACGACATTCCGAACTGGTCCCGCAGCTAATCTTACCCAATCCATCACTGGTTGGCATGACAAAAGATAGCTATCGTAATTAAGTGAAATGAAATGAAAAGGATTTGGGATATGTCCTACTTTTCTGCTCTATCCGGGATATTGAAGACGAACATACGCCATGCAGTGTGCTATAAGAGGAATTTTGTCTTACTAGCACCGTCATAGCGAAAACACGCCGGAAAATCCCGAAGAAGTAATTTGATTCAGAGTATGCTCTGTATGATTGATAACAATCATCTCCGCGCAACGGGTCGCTAAATCTGAATAAAGGTGGTGGAGGTAGCTGAATAGTCTTATCCTATGCGTTGTGGAGCATATGTGATCGACGATATATGCAGGGTTATGTCGCCGGTTAAATAGCAGGTTCTCCGGCATCCGCCCTCTATATACTAAAGTGCCCCGCACGCAAAGTTAGGCATGAGACACTTTGTCTTGTAATGTTATATATATATATGGGATATGCTAATCATTGGGATTAATTATAGAAAATTTATTCAGCGTACTTGTATTCAATGTGCACGCCATTGGAGAAGGAACAACTGCTTTGGAATTATTTCACCATTGACAAATCAAAGAGATCGCTTATTAGAGATCTTTTGCTTGCTCCCTTTTTATGCAGAGATTCCCATCCAAGTGAAGAAAGCATTATGGTGTGTGCCGTTTCTGGTAAGCTGTGTCGTACAGAGGTTTGGTGATGCCCGGGGCCAACTCCTTTATTGTATGCCCCAAAGACTCAAGCATACGACCCAATACTCATAGCCGTCTCCTCTCCATTAGCCCAGTGGGAGCAGAACAGTAGGGCAATAAACCCATTTTATTCCAATACTGATAAAAGTTGAGAAATGAAGTAATTCTAAATATATCAAATATGAAGTAAACGTTTTATTCCAAAAGATTTATCAACGATGATTTCAAATTTCAAAAAACTTAAACATACATTATGCAAGAACTAAATCTGTCTATTGCAGGTCTTTCTTTAGGCCCGAAATGTTATCTAAATTATTAATTACACATTAATTTACCTATCCAGACTATAATCAACTCTAGATGGCATCGCTAGACTGCGATCGTAAGTGGATTGTGATCCGATTTACTGCATAACTTTCCTTCTCGATTAAACGATTAAATGGATAATCGAAACTATGCTGTTTAACGTACTGGCTTTAGTAATGATGACCGAGGCTAAGCAGAAATTTTATACGCTTAGTTCTCGGTTCATAGTGGATCAATTTGAATGAAATTCTCAGCAAATTGCCTTTACGTTATCTAGTTTTTAATTATTATAGTGAGAAGTGCCAACTCGTTATCGAATCTTACATAATGTATCTTTAATTCAATGTCACTTTTCGATTAGATGTCATCATGAGTGCATGTATTCCGCTAAACTACACGATATCCTGTTAGTCGCCTATAGGTGTCAATATGATAGTAGTGTATATATACATATGTACTGGTGTCAATGATTTCTAGGTCATTTAGTAGTGTGCTTGATTGAAGTAAAGTTAGTCCGATCGATCGAATCAGGATCTTGATTTTTTTTTTTTCAAATCGGTTTCCACTCATATTTAGTTTCGAATTCGAAAACTGTCAGTGCACACTGAATACAAGTCCGAGGTTAACTTTGCTGAATAAATTTTCTATAATTAATCCCGATGATCAGCGTATGAAATTAAATTCCTTAAATGACATATAGAATTACGGTTCAATATTTACATCAAAACACAAGGTATACGAGTATTGTTGTGTGTTTTGTTGTGATTATGGAATTCAATTTGCAAGATGAAGAATAGTACGCATTCTGGAATGTAAATAATTGAATGGAAGGGGTTTTATGTATTTTCAATATCAGTCATTTTAAAACTTACATATATGTCATTTTTATTGTTATTCCAACACGGGGTCACGGTGGCTAAGTGGGTAAGACGCTGGGTGTTCGATCCCTGCATTCGCCGAAAAAGTTCCCCCTTGTCAATAATGCAGGACGGAGGGCCTGACAAGGAAAGTTGTCTAGTCGGTCTGGTGGGACGAAAAACCGAGGTCCCGTGTACACATTGACATGCACGTAAAAGATCCCTTGACAATTGGAATTCTATATAAGAGTAGGCCTTTGTGCCACTGTTCGTGCAAAATTTCCCTCATAGCACAATATATGGCGTATGCCCGTTTTCATAGCCCGGTTCGGGGCAGAACAGTAGGACGTTAAACCCCATTTCATTTCGTTTTAGAATTCCAACACCCAAGTATTTTACGTGCAAGCTACGTCAACGTGTGTATACGGGTGAAACTCGAATTCTCGTCTCATCCCAACAACCACGAAAACACCCCCTGCCCGCTCCATAGGCGCCACCCGTAACAAGTGAGAAGGGGCGTGGCCCCCGCTCCCCAGGTTCATTTTCGGCCCACGTCGATAATCGAACTCTGTGTAAAGTATCCAAATTTATATTTTGTTCAATCCAACCCGACCTTAAAAAAATTCTCAATCATTACTTTAAATACAATAAACTATTTTACAATATGCAATGATGTCTTTCTTACCTTTATATACCCGTCCAAATAAAACTGTTATGGCGGAAATTACAACGTTTAAATTGCTAGGTGACACTGAAATTATATTTCGCTTTATTTTTATTTGAATTCTCTTTTTATATGAATGATGGCCATATCTGTTGTGAATAGGGTGATTTGGGCTGTTCATGTTTTTTTGTTTGACAAAGGGGGTTGGTGGCCGAATGGCTGAGTCGTCTAGTCGTGTAAAATATATACTGTTATCTATACATTAAAGCGATTGGTTCGTACGTTAAAAGTCGTGTACGGTTTAGATCACCACGTCTGTAATCCATGTAACTATGCGCCGGTTTGCGAAGTCTGTAACCTCGCGATTGTCTTTATCAAGCTTGAAAGTCTCGAAACAATGTAACAAATTGCACTTTGCATTGAATTTGCTATGTGTTTGTTTTCGGTAGTTTATTGAAAAGGTACAAAAACTGATTTCACCGCTACACTCGACAAGACCTTGGTTTGAATAGACCCTTTTGAAAAATCCGGATTTTAGCTGGCGTACCGCGTGGCCTTTATTTACTATGTATGACAGTTGTATACCAAGACAACCTGTATAGAATATATTGTATATAGAGTATCTAGCCAACATGTACTGTAACTATACGTCAATTGAATAGCTGAAAGTGTACACATGCTCGAGTGCATGGGTAAGTGTCATATTAAAGTGGCAGTTAACAAAATTTGAAAATAAGACGAATATATTAGCGGACCAACGGGTTATATATCTTCTCGCGACCATGGTTAATGTTGCCACACTTAACCGTGTAATCACTTCTGAACAGTTCTTGGGCTTTTTAAATTTACTAATTTGGCAACTTAAAGATACATTCCCGCGTACAAACTTTGTGATTTGATGATATATTTGGACTAAAACATATTCAAAGTAACCGATCTATCAAAAATTTGCTTCAATTCCCTCTCAAAACTTTATATTCACCGGGGATACCTATAGCTATAAGTAAGCTGTTGTTAGACGCAACGTCTGTCAACTTAGTTTCATTGGGGGGGTCCATTTTGCAGAATGTATTTATCATTACTTACTGTACATTTACCATACATATTGAGGCCTAAGTAACTTCTTAATGATTTCTGTCAACTTCTTTTTCCGCCGAGTCTTTTGTACGCTGACACCCCTCAATGTTCCTAAAACCGCCTAACCATTTGATCAAGAAATAACAACCGCTCCCTCACTTATCCTAGCACACAATAAGCTGGCAGATAACAGTTGGGTTGCCAGTTAGTGATACCCTGACAATTTTGCCCAGTTCTTGCCCTATGGGCGTTTTTCGGGTAATCCCGTATTTTTCTAGTAAGATTGGGTGTCTATACTTTCGATATATACCAAATTTGACATAGTTTTATCGGATATCACCACCCGATAAATACTTTTCTGGGAAAGTATCTTTAAATATTCTGCTATTGAGATGTTCTTTATTAGATATTTTTTAATACCATTTGTTAAAGGGGCCGCGGTAGCTCACTTACTAGGAGGTTCGGATTTCAATTTCGGTGTTAGACGAGAAAGTTCCCCTGGATTTCCAGGCTTGGTTTCCTCTTGTCAGTGGTGCAGGACGGGGGGTTTATTCCCACGAAGGCGCAGTTATTGACCGTAATATATTAAAATAGGTGGTTTTCGACGCCTTCGCGGGAATCCAGCTTTCAGGGATTAAAATGGATTAAAAATGTAACAATGGAGTTATAGGTTGTTATGATAAGAATTTACACTTTCATAATCCCCAATGTGACTAATTAACTAACATTTTAACATGTGTGGCATATGACTTTAAGAAATAAAAATCGGATGAGCTTTAGCAACTATAGCTTCTTGATCCTTGAATGCCACCCTTCGAGGGTGTTGTTGGTTCTGTGTTCCCCTGTGTGGTAGTGGTTCCACTGATGAGTAGCATATTCACCCCTCGCCCATTGTTTTTTTACACTGTCGGCCAATTCAGTTATTTTTGGATCTGATTGAGAATCAACCTAGGTCCAATGTACACCTTGGCGTGCATGTAAAAAAATTGAATGGCTTGCTTTACGTGAAAAATGTCCCTGATGTGCCCGTCCTCAGTACCCTGGTTGGAGCCAAAATGTAGGAAGTTAAAAGGGATATTATAAATACATGGTCTAGTCAAATAAAACACTTTAATAACTGTGTTCTAGTCACTGATTTGTTTATTGGTGGGACATTTAGACAATGCCCCCCCCCCCTCCACCCACCCACACGCGTGCGCGCACACACAATACCTCGGCTTCTCATCTAACCCATCCTCCACCCCAGTCCACCACAAACACACAGATTTCGGGAATTCTGGCTGAGTAGCTGTCATAATATAAGACCAGTGTTTGTCTGACTAATCACTTTATCCATTGTGTTATATACATTGCATCGTCAATCAGTAGATAATAAGCCAGTCGGAAGTTAGGTGGATCACTACTCGGAAATTGGGCGACACGGTTACGTCTCCAATACGGATATTGCTTGTTTATCAGATGATACACAGCATTACACAGTATGTTGACTGTATGTCGTAATATTTATGGGTGCATTAATTGCTATAGTCTCAGAATAAATCATTTTGCATTAAATTAGAAGTTTAAAAAATTATTCTATCGAAATCGCACTGATACTTATAATATAAAAACGTTAATTTAATTGAATTGTGTGTGTGTATTTGTTTTTCGCAATGGATATCTGTCGAAATTTAAAATTTTAGTCCGTGTTCAACAGTCGTCAAAAACGGAAATAGTAAAGAATACGGCTGCCACTATATATTTCAAAATGGAAATTTAATCATATAGATTTTGTTCCATCACTTATTGATATGTAACACGTTGTTATGGTCTAAATCAGGTGGCACCTCGTAACAATAATCATTTTTATTATTTTATAAAAGGACCAGTGTGGCTTTCTTTAAATTTTCCGTAATTTACCCTATCTTTGCGTTAACCACAGAGATGCTAACTGGTGCTAAGAGGACTGGTTTTGATTTAAAGTAACGGTGGACCAGTTGCATTTTTCCACACTCATATATACATGTACTCAGATTAATTATTTAATATTAAATTTAGAAAACAAGATCAAAATACTAACTCTAGACAATGTTCGGGTTTGGATACAATAGGCCTAAACAATAAATTTTCGCAGATAACAAAATGGCGACCGGCGTTTTAATTCCACACACTTTTGTAAATATTAAACAGAATTGGATCATTTTTGGACTGATATTGCTATAAGAGAGATTGGGGGCTTGGTTGGCCGAAGGGTCAACGCGTGCGCGTGAAATCACAAGGTCTGTCATTGAGTCAAGTGGCGTGGTTTCGATTCCCCACTTGTGCGTGACGAGAAGTAGGTTGCCTGTCCAACCCCGTGGGTTTTCTCCGGGTCCCCCGGGTTCCTCACAATGCTAAAGACCCCTATGCACCAGCGAGTTATTGAAATAAAATTGAACCAAATGTAAGTTTCGAAATGTACGTTAAAGCCCATCCCCCCCCCCCTCCTCTGTAAAAGAGATTCAAAATACTGTAGTTTACAGGTGATTCCTTTAGCGCTAAAATCTCGCATCGGGGCCTTGATAAAATGGTAAATATCCACATAAGCACTAAATTACGACCCTTCTAGATATCTTTAAACCCGGAAAAAAAGCTTTCTGTTAAAAAGAAAAAAAAGAAGTTACAAAAATTTGTTTAACATATACTCTTTTGTACAAAAATTAATTTTAACAAGATGAAAATGATAGTAATATAGATTAAATCGCTTTTATATAACGACTCTTGTCTCCCACTAAATTTGAATAATGATACACAGAAAATGGTAAATATTTATATATATATATATTATATACATGACAAAATAAAAATACACCTAGTTTTAAAAAAAATCAACCCTTAACTTTTTCGTTCAGGCCCCTGTTTCTCGAAATCTTAACTAAAGATAAAATCCAAATTTTACTTCAATTTTAAATTGCTAAGCACTAAAATCAACCTAATATTATCCAATCTAATTACATGTACTAAAATTTGGATTTTATCTTAGCTAAAATTTCGTGAAACAGACCCCAGATATACATCAAGTCATAAGCTAGCTAGCTGTCTGTTTTTTTCTTAATTGAGCATCTTTGTGTGTCGGGTGAGGTGGCGTTGCTTTATCATTTCCAGTTTCGGGGTGATAATGCACCTGGAGAGAGAGAGAGAGAGAGAGAGAGAGAGAGGGAGAGAGATCATCCATATCTGGTTACTTATGTTTTAGTGCATAGATCGCTGTGATGACTCCATCGATAAAAGTTACGTGTAGTTCGATTATTAGCTTTTTAGCCCTTCTATCAAATGAATTAAATTATTATTATTATCATTTAATATTATACCATCTATCGTTTAACTATAAACCTTAACATAGAATATTGTAGCAATATCTAAAATCCGAGATTTATCTGACGGTAAAATCTTTGACAGATAATATCAATTAACAGTTAATATCTTTTCCAAACAGTTCTTGTGGAAGAAATTTTTCGAATGCGAATTTTAACACGCTTTTGAAAATCCATCAATTTAATTTCAAATGGTTACTGACCACGTTGTTCTTGCACACTGCTGCCACCTGCACGGTTTGAAGTACTTCTGTTTAGATATCGTTCGTCACGACAACACATCCATTTAAATAATTTCTTACACTCATCTCTAAATTGAGAATTACAGAAGCCATAAACAATAGGATTAGCACAATTATTAATGAGATACGAACGAATAAATATATTGACCGCCACTTGCTCCTGGGTAGATAATTTTGGATAGAAACTACTTCCCACATGAGTTCTGATGGTGGTGATGATCAAAAAGGGCACGAAGCTCAGCACATAAACCACTGTGATGGCGAACAGCATAAGGGTAGAACGCCCACCTCGAAACTTCGATTTGCTCCATTTAGATGCAACACTCAAGGCTACGCCGCGTGGGAATGAGAAGCCTTTTTGGTTTTTCGATCCGCTCGGTGATATCGGTGACGTCATCGGAGATTCTGAAGTGGCTTCTGATGGCGTTGCATTTTTTGCAGCATCTTGCGTATTGCAATGCAGTTTTAGCGGACCTAGTGTAGGCGTTTGTGGTAGAAAGACTTCCTGCTCCGTGCTGTTTGAGGCATTGCGGTATTTCTGCATAGTTGCTTGTGTGCTTTGTGATCTTGCCCGTTTCTTCTTGTTGCGTTGGAGGATGGCCCTGCCTATCATAATATACATAGTGATGATAACAATAGCAGTACCGCAAACCCCAACCCACAAATAAATGAAGAAAGCGAATGGATATGGCGTATTCTCATATTCATTTTCCACAAGGCACATTACTCCTTGAATTATCCGTCCATTTGGCAACTTTATAGGCAGTTCCTCCCTTCCGTACATTACGAGCGCTGGCCAGGAGACAGAAATTCCGATAATGGCTGCGATCCCACAGCCAATTAATGCACCACGTGGACTGATTGGTTGGTTATGAGGTTTACAGATACGAATGTACCTATCAACGGAAACAATAACGAAGATAAACGATGTTGCATTGTTCATGACGTAAGTTGTAAAACGCGACATTTTACACACATTTCCGTTGTCAAAAAAGTAAAATTTAGTCATAACTGCAATTTCCGTAGGCATGGTGATTAAACAATTGATCAAGTCCACCACAGCTAAACAAAGAAGGAAATTCCTGGTCGTGGTTTTCTGCCAGCGCCAGCCGTAGATATAAATAGCCAAGGGATTCCCTATTAAACCAATCACCATTAAAATGACCGTATATGTGATAGCCGGGATCAACTGGACAGCTTTCTTGTGATTGAGCAAGCTTATAATGTCCATATCACTCGGAATTCGAGGGTCGGTAGCATTCGAAGCCATGGCTATAGTGTTTATCTTCAACGGACTGGATAATCAAACCAATTGCCCTGACGTCCTACTTTCTGAAATGACAAATTAAGATTATGTACTAAATCAAATATTTAAAATATATAAGGAGAATGTTTCTTGTCAAAGTATTTGTTACACTGTTTAGAGTATTTCCTCCATTGTTAGCATATCGTTTCGTTTTAAGTTCTCGTTTCAATCGTCTAAAACTATAACCCCAGCAATTGCAGAATATATTCATTCATTCATAAATTAATTTCAATCATACTCAACTCCAGGTACAAATTGGTTCGCCTTTTAGCTGGGGTTGGGTGGTCGAATGGTTAGCACGTGTGCGCTGTATCATAAGGTCTGTTACTGAGTAAATTGGCGTGGTTTCGATACCCGGTTGTACGTGACAAGTAGGGTCGCATGTTCAACCTCGTGGGGGTTTTTCGGGACCTCCGATTCCCTCTCACTGCTAAAGACCCCTACGCGCAAGCCAAGTTATTGGAATACAATTGAACCATGTGTTAGTCCCGAAATGACCTAGTTTGTGTCGAGTGGACATTAAACCCCATTTCTCGCTCTCTCTCGTCTTTAAGCACGTGCTGCTGGTTTGTTTATTTACACTGGCTGTCATTTCCTCCCGTTTCGTCATAGTCGGTCGGCGCTTTAATGTTTTAATTAACGACTAAATGATAATATACGGGTTTTGCACTGTAGATACTATTTATACAAGATAATAAACAAAATAAACAAACACTGCAACGGCTAGAGCTCTCCTTTAAACGTGCAATTTAGTAAACGTTGGTTTTACCGTTACGTTTCGGTCGATATTTTCTAATTAATCGATTTTGATTGGTAACTTAATGGGGCTGTTCACCTAGGTAAACTTTATACCCAATCTATTTTTATATACTCTACCCCATCCCCATCTGATGAATTATAGGGATCTGGGATTCCATGAGTACATACTGCGCAATTGGCAGTGCAGCTCGAAGTGATTTTATGAGCACGTATTACGTGACGTGTGATGAATAGATGCGGCTTCGAGTAGCGTATTTGTCTTTCATTATCACGACAGGTAAATCCCCAACATGACAAAAAGGAGCGGTTTCCCAGTTCCATCAACTTCCGTATGAAATTAATCTTTACTGAGAAAAAAAATGTTCTCTAAGCACGATAAACATTTTGATGGACACATATCAGCATATTATACACATCAATCCACATCATGGACACGCTTCACACATCACGGATATTCGTCATTCAGTTTTCACAGGTAAATGATGGATTCGTTTTCAACAACCTAAGGCTAGTTCGTGTTAATTTGTACACTTTCAATGGATTATAAAATTAACAGTATTTATCTATCTATAGAAAGGCTTTTAAATTTGCGTAAACGGTGTCAGTTTAACTAAGGAAATAAATGTAGGTAATATAATATTATTAATATCATATCCAAACCATCGAAACTTCTAAAAAAATGAAAATTGACCTGTACATAAATTAACAAATAAAACGTTATATTCGGTGATGGTTGAGCAGATTTATTCCACAGTTTACACACAATCTAATTCAAATCCAGTGAAATTAATAATTATAGTTTACCAACCGTCCAAGATCTACAAAGGGCTAATGCCTCCTTAAACGTCGTCCATATTCCCAACAATGATAAGCTTTGTATTCATGGTCAAACCACAATTAAGTTGTCTAGTTGAAAAGTCACGTTTGATTAATAAGAACACCTTCAATAAATGTAAGTCGCAATATGTGATAATATAGTTAGATCCTTGACGGGCATATCCATATAATTTACGTTCTATTTCCTTATGGACAATCCTTGTTTCTAGACTGCTCATTGATATTTGTCGGGGATATAACATTTTTCTATTATCGAAAACTCCCAGAAAAACAATCATTTTGCATTAAAGTTTGAAATTATTATATCCAAATCGCACTGATACTTAATAATAGACGTGTAAATTTAATTGAATTGTGGGTGTGTTTATCTGTTTTTCGAAGCGGGTATCTATCGACATAAAAATGTTATGTTGGTAGCCCATTTTTCATGGCCACTATCAGCTAACATATAATTCATTATGATAATAATATGACGCTTTATTGTAACATTTTGTTGGGTGTCAAAACGATTACGAAACTAAAACCACTACAGTTTGTTTCGACATTCATTGAAATTATTCATGGAAATAAAACAAATTACGAATTCAAACTACAATATTCAAGACATTAAGCCATACATAATAATAGCCGATTTGCTATATGTATGTTAGAAGTTACATGTATTGAAGTAAGCATCTATTCGCGCTATGTTAAGGGTTGGAATTATGTCATGAATTTCGCTCCATTCTAATCAGTTATTTGATTGCTTCGCTCGGAATTTAGTCAGAATAAAGTAATTTGACTGAGATTTTCAATATATTCCCTTTTTCATAATCTATTTTAAACTATTATATCGATAACTATCAGCTCTTTATCAAAATCTTACATAATGCATATTTAACAAAACATTTCTATTAAACGACTTACCATCGCTTTTAGCTAAGAGCTAATTAAGAAGACAAGAAACGCGTCCACTGATTTCCATTAACAGCTCGTGTCTCAATTAACTTGTGCAGCTAACAGTTAAGTCTTGGTTATTAAGATGTTGACAATAATAACAGGAAGCGTCAATTGATTCGCTATTACTATACCTAACCCATCTTATGATGATGACGTCGATTATAGCGAGGCGTCCGTTACCTAGGAAGTCGTGCTGGCTTTTTTAGTAAGACACTGGCTCACTCATGGAGGTCCAGAGTTCGAATCGGGTCTGGTATTCATCGAGAAAGTTCCCCGCAATTTTCTAGCGTGGTTTCCCATGGTCAGTGGTGCAGGGCGGGAAGCCTAGCAACGAACACATGTCTAGTCGTTCAGATGGAGCGAAAACCAATACCCACCAAAAGGCCAATACCACATTTTTTCTCATTCACATTTAGAAGGGGTTGTGTGGCCGAATTAAATCGCAAGGTCTGTCAGTCATTGAATCCAGTGGCGTGGTTTCGATTATCCGGTCTTACGTGACAAAGAGTAGGGTTGCCTGTCAAACCCCGTGTTTTTCTCCGGGTCCTCAGTTTTCCACCCATTGCTAAAGACACATAAGCGCAAGTACCAAAATGGTCTAGTTTGTGTCGAGTGGATGTTAAACCCCATTCATCCACTCACTCATAAGATACAATTGTATAAACTACATATTATCACTATCTTACTGATGTTATATAAATCAGTATATATTTTTCACGGATCTCATGTTTTAACCACTCGTTTTTCAAGGTGATATAGATAGAGAATGTCCTACTCGTCTTTTTTTTTTATTTCAAAATCAACACAAGTCGATAAAGTAACAAAAACGAGGCTCTGCCGAGGTTTTTTTTACTTTATCGACGAGTGTTGATATTTTTAGGTATCAAAAAAGACGAGTAGGAGTTTTTGTTTTATCACCCAATCCTTTCTTACATGTACAAATAAATAGGTATAATTCTATGCTGTAGATTTCACTTTTACTGAACCTGATTACATTACGGCGTAGTGATACATTATTTTTTGACAGCAATTCAACCAGTGCAAAGATCTTTATATTGACCCAGCGTTTCCATCAAGGTCAATTAAATAACAATAGTTCATTTTTAATTAAAAAAAAGTTACTTTTAATAAGAAATTAACTGTTCTTTGAAAATAAAAAAAGTAGTTCCTTTTCAACTGACCAATCAAATTCATGTAATGCGATATCTCCTAAGGAGATTATGAAATATATCACACAAGCGATATCTACTGTAGAATGTATTATTGGGTGATAAAACACAAATTGCACAACACTGTTGAGCTCAATCAATGAAATTAAAGGTGCTGTCCTAGATTCCTAGATTATCCTTCCATAAACATGATTTCATTGTTGTTGGTAAATAACAAAAGTCTCGATATAATTAAATTCGTTATGTTGCTTTATTTTTGTAAAGTGTGTATCTTTTGACTTTGATAATTGTATGTCCAAAGAGCCAATGTTGAGATATAGTTGAGCTACAGCTTATGCCAGAAACAAAACTATTTCCGCCTAAAAATTACGAAACTTGTTGCACCGCATGGAATTACCAAATAAGTGATTTTACAGAGAAGAAAATTTACCAATATAAGTTCGGCAAATACAGATCGACCTTCCACAAACCCCACAAATGAAAATGAAAAGTTTGTATTTCTTCGATAAAATATCACAGTGTTTCAGTGACTCAGTCTGCATTTCCTAATAGTCTGTACACAGTCCTAATCAGTTTTAATTAATACAATTTATCTGGGACGGTTGCTTTAACTATAATTCAAGGTCACTAAATACCATTATAGATTAATAATCTTAATGATACCAATGATTTTGTTCAAAGATAGTGCATCGATCTAATCTTAAAGATGCATTATGTAAGATTTAGATAAAGAGCTGATTAATATTGCTATAATAGTTCAAAATAGATCATAAAAAAATAAAAAATCAATATATTATTGAAAATTTCTGTCAAATTTACTTTATTTTGAGCGAAGTTGTGAACGTTGGAAGTTTGATAAGAATAGCGTAGCTTCGATTTTCATTGCTTCCATTGTTACGAAAATAAACAAAGTTTCGATTCCCCATTTTTAAATCACATTATTAAATGACGATCGTGGTTCAATCCACTAAGGTCACGCCCCTCCGATGGTCTAGCGAGTTTAGTGTGGGCTTGTCATGTGAATAAATGTATAGATGATAATTCATATAACAATTGAGACCAACAACAAGACCTTAATCCACGCAAATATGTACACAGATTGATTATTTAATATTGAATTAAGAAAAAAAAATCCAATACCAACGCTAGATAATGTCTCGGATTGTATTCAATCGGATTTAAAACATAGATAGATGAAATTTATCAGTTCCACATATCTTGTAAATATTCAATGGAATTGAACCTTTTTGGACCGATATTCCTATTAGAGATTCGTCACAATATTATAGCTTGTAAGTCATTTCTATTGTTTAAAATAGTGA